TATGTCTTTCTGCGCATGTACAAGACAGAGGTTCAGGATGATTTTGAAGACCGCGTCTTGTGAAGTCTTCTAAGGCAAACAGCACACTTTCCTTTTCCTTGAATGCCAAGCCCCGCGGGACAGGTACAGGCTGAGTGTAATATATCACACTGAGGTGTGAACTCCACGACCACGCGGTAAGGCGACTTTTTCATCGATGGCAGAACAGTGGCTTTCACGTACGTCTTGCCATCATAGGATTTGCTTTCCAGCCTCTTAACGTTCCCTTCAAAGAAAAATTGATACGACTTCAATTTCTTGTAGTTTGTTCCCTTGAGAACAATGTGGCGGTACTTGCGAGTTGACACAACAAGGTAGTCGTAAAGCTGAATGAAATTCAGCTCGGGGAGCTGACGCAAATCAGTGGACCATCCGAGAGCCGAGATTCTTCGTAAAGTATCATCATACTTGAATTCGCCTCCATTTTCTGCAGTACTTTGATCATTCTGAGGAATATTATCGCCAGTTTGCTGTTGATTCTCACCCGGTCGTAGCACATTACGCATTAGAATAGCGTATACCTTTAACACCAAGTCCACTTTAATTCCGTCCATCGCTTCCGAATTTGAACGTAATATCTCCCTCAAATCTTTTACTTTTAACTTCTGGATATCCTCTAGCGTTGAAATCTCCTTATCTTGGTAAACAAGCACCATTTTCGACTGTTTTCGAAGCGATTGAACGTGAGAAGCCTATTGCGATCAGCTGTATTTACTCCTTTTGTATTACGCGGGTCACCAGGAGCCTCGCTATCGTGTTTGCGCGGTTACAAATCCAATATGGCGCCGGGAACTGTAAAAAGGGCTATTAATCTTTTTCTACAGGTAGAATTCTTTTAGCTTTTTAATTGTACCAACATCACTTCTCTAGCCTTGACTTGCTAACGAGAGATATGAATTCTTAAGCATCAACTATACATGTAGTTTCCCGCATTTTGTTGAAATCGTGCATCCTATCTTCCTAGTGTCGAACTAGAAGAAGAAGAAGAAGAAAAAAATAAAAAAGTCTCAAATGCAGCTATGGCAATTTATTTTTTGTACATGCCGCAGTATTTTAGCTTTGTAAGATACTACCAAAATGATTTCTTTAGCCCGAATATAACTAGAGAGATGCATCCAAGTTGCAACTTGATCCTGTAAGGTCGAACATTCACCGAAACTTGACAGAGAATGTACAAGAAAACTTGACCTTTGACCTCCTATATCTCCTTTAAAAGGTTGCCTTTTGAAAAGAAAAAATTCATGAATAACAAGCGGCCACGTTAACTTCCTATTGAAGACTGTATTGGCTTCCTGTTTGCGGGTTTTTTTTTTTAATTTTTTTGCTATGCGGAAGTTTATGTCCTGCAGCAATTTTTAGACAGACGCTTCGAGTTGAGCTTAATATCTACATCTAAGCTGATACGAACACATTTGTAAATAGATAAATATGGCAGATTCATTTTGAAATGCAGATCCTGCTATTTTTCTTTTCACTTCCTGCCTGTCCAAGAGCGCATATTGGCCTTCCTGTTTTAAAATTAATCGGATCGAGTTTCAAAAGTGAAGTAAACAAAAGCAAAGAAGCTGCATTTAAAAGGAAATTACAGTGAAAGGAACTCAACCGGGGCCACCCAACGTTTTTTAGCCAATTACAAGACAAGTACAGAACAAAAGAATGGGAGTTCGTTCACCAGTGGTCAAATTAAACTGCTATTTTGACTGGAGTCGATGTGAAGACATGCGAAAGCTTCTAGTTTTTTTACGGTGAAATAAATATGTTGTTTATTTCGTTTACGGTAAAAGCGAATAAATATTTACCTAATAGCGGCCGGTAATTTTGAAGAC